ATAAAAATATTTATATTAACGTTATCAAACGCACTTTCAATATCTAAGAAGATCGCAAAAATATCACAATTCTTTTTAAAGGCATCTTCAACTGTTAATGCGAGACTAAAGAGATTGTCTGAACAGGAGTTGTCATGTTTAAAACCATGTTGCGAAGAAGGGATCCAGCGATTAACTTCTGCATACCATTGAAGACGATTCTTAATAAGGGTTTCAAAAAGTTTTGCAGAAGCAGGAAATTAAAGAAATGGGTCTTGGATCATTTCCCCCAGATTTCTTAATAAATTGAACAAAGATTTATTTCCAGGACTCTGAAGAGTAGCTGGAACATGTCGTTAAAAATATCCAAAAGGATAAGTAAAAATTTGTAAGAGAGTTTTTTTATGACCTCAAAGTTGATGCCTGTCTCGGCCAGGAGCAGAGTTAGTGTTTCATTGTCCAAGGCCGCGTTTAATTCAAGAAAGGTGAAAGGAGTGTCAAAAAACTCATTGGGGTTACAGGCAGGAAAAAAGTTTGGGTCCAAGGAAACCCAGGGTGGACAAATTTTTTTAAAAGCAAGCAGATGGTTATCAGGAAATGAGATATTTTCCGGTGTGTGAGAGGGTCTGGGCTTAACCCGCGAATTTCGGAAAATACGACACTTATTCCAAACATAAGACATATTTGTACGAAAATCAAGTGACTGCAAATTTAATAAAAGAAGTTTTTTTTTTTACTTTTAAATATTTTTTTTTTGCCTCAAGGCAACGTTTTTCATAGAGGGCTAGGTCCTCCAGATTACAAGAAAAAAGAAATTTCTTGTACACCGCGATTCTCAGTCTTTTAATTTTAGGATATAAGGGAATAAAGTAGAAACTTAAAAATTACACACTGTCGGAATACAAGCTGTGGTCTTCATCATCTTCATTTTCTTCTAAAGCGATAGGCTTAAAACTGGAGAGATCTGAATAGTCAACCGTCTTCAATATTAAAGCTAATAATTTAGCCACATGAACATCAAAGGAGTTGTTAACTTCGTGGTTTAATCTAGATGAAGAGGTGTCGTTAAGACTGCATCTTATTGTTTCACCTGATGTGGACTGTGAGTAAAGCCTGTTGTCGGCAGCTGAATTTCCTTTGGTCCTGAATAATGCATTCTGTGTTTGTCCAGAGTAGGTAGAATTCATCTGATTATTGATAAGTTCAGTTGATGAAACATGGTTAAAAGGTTTACCGTTGCCCCGGGGGCTGCCTTTATTGAATGTCAAAGGTTGACCAAGGTTGGGTTTGTGATTATTGTAATTAGCACTTTTGTTTACCTGTCTTTTTGGTTTGCTGAGTAAAGCTTGAGAAAAGGAATGATTGTTATCATTGATGAGGCAGGAGCGATAACAGTTGGAATCTGTTGTGAATCGCTAGAGGAGTCTCTTGTGACAGCTCAGGAAAGACTTCTTTGGAAGCATTGACATGCCTGGGGCCATTATTGCCAATTACAATTTTTCTTGCGTCGTCCCGGGACTTATTTTCATGTACCATTATTCTTTGGATAGCATGCTCTTGAAGTAGGGTTATGCACGTTTTATCCAGAGAACGATGAGGATCACCACATGAGGCGCATTTAGGAACATTAGTTTTACAGCCTCCACCATATCTTCTTTCACCAAAATTTCTGCAACGAGATTCTCAGACAGTTATTAGAAGTGTGACCAGAAAGGTGACACTTGTATCAGATTCTAGGCGAATTAATAAACGGTTGCACATCATGGGCAATATGATACAAATAGACGTATTACGGGAGCTCCTAACCATGAAAAGATATTACAATAGATTTTGTTGGAATATATTTAGATGCATTGTCATCTAAAGAAGCTTTAGGATTCTTCTTAGTGATTCTTGGAACACTGTGAATTTTGATTTTGGATTCAAGGTCTTGTAAAATGTCACTATCCTCAACATCGAGATCAACGCCCCTTATAATGCCCTTTCTGATGAGACGATGATAGGGAATAAATATATCACAGTTTTAGTCAACAAAATCTTGGTTATCAAGGCATCTTCTCTTGTTTTTAAAATGACTTCAATTTGACTAGCAGATTTAAAAAATACTTGCCTAACACTGTGTTTGCTTGAGATCTTCTTACTTATGGAATACCGATCAATACTTTTATAGTGATGCTCACCTTGAATCTTTTTGCCTTGAATAATGACACCAAATGGGCCTTTATCTTCAGGAGCGTATTTTAGGATGGTGGGCTTATAACTGTGTTTAATCTGGCTAGATTGCTGTAGAGAGCTTTAGTCACTGATAACGCCAGAGGATATTTTTGTAACCTGACTCTGGACAACAGGGATGTCCAAAAGAGTCGAAGGGGGCTTCATTTTGGACTGTTGTACTACCTCCACTGAACTATGGTCATCTTTGATAGCATTAAAAGGTATTTTACCCTCCCTTTGATTTAACACAATATCTGAAGAGTCACCCATCTCCATGGACATATCATCAAGGTAATTTTGCGCCATGATTGGTGCTTTTGATTCGTGCCACCCAGATATCCGGGGGCACTGCCAGAAAAGAACACCAGACGAAAACACGTGTAAAGTTACACCACAGAGCAAAACCTAGCCTTGGTCTTGATCGTCATAAGTCAATTAGAACAATCCGATTAAGACAATCAGAACTGCACAAAAGATAGGAAAAGCCTCTAAATGTTCTTATGGACGAAACACACGTGCTATCCACCACACTCCTCCATCTCCTTTTCCGATGTATAGTTATGGTGTATATAGTCAGCTCCTGCTATACGTACATATGTCTGCCAGACAGCACGTCTGTAATCACTATATATATACCGTAACTATACATCGGTAGTTAGAGCTCGAGCTCGGAGGTTGGAACGTATACATTCCAAGAGTTGGCTCAGACAGCCCCCTCCCTAGACCTCTAAAGTACAGCGTTGCTTCGAACTGTACGAGTCCAAAGTTGGGATAGCTGCGAGCAGACAGCTGTACTGTATGCGGTTAATGCGTGTTTGTATTCTCTTAAGCTGGACCCCTGTACTCTCACGGTACAAATTTTTTTTGCGTGTAGACTGTAATACTGTAATGCCTGTAAGTATAATTACTCTATCTCAACTGTGTTGCGAATGCGTCCACGTGGAATTTTTTTGAATGTGCATACTACAGCAGTCTGGCCTCAAAGTTCGACTATCTGTCTGCCTCCTGGTGTCCGTCCCCTTTTCACGCTTCTCCGGGTACGGTGATGTGGGTCTCGCGTGTTGGCTCTGCAGATCGTATAGGTCCTGGGGGCTACGCGTCAGCTTGCAAGCTTGCGTGATTGCTTTGGGGTTAAGTCGCACCTTGTTGACCTGGATAGGCTGGGTGCGAAGCTGAGTCAACCTGCGTGTAGGTTCTAGGGATATGGGTATGGTGAAGGGAATGCGAATGAGTCGGAGTTTGTGCGAGGGCTTGCGGCCTTTTGGAAGGAACGTGCAGGAATGTGACTGAGTCAAAGCTTGCTTGAGGGTTTCTAGGAAGGTGTGAGCAGAAATACGAATGAGTCAGAGTTTGCCTGAAGGTTGCAGCTTCGTGGAAGAATGTGAGTCAGAGCCTGCACGAGAGCTTATGGCTTTGGGAAGATTCGTGCATGAGTCAAATCTCGTGTGAAGGTTTATGGATTCATGCAGGAATACTAGTTAGTCAGAGATTAGATGAGAGCTTATGTATTGATGACTCCATCTGAAAAAATAAAATGTCGTCTCCCAAAGATCTCAAAATGTTTTTAATGATTAAGGGAGTTTTTGTATAGCTTGTTTTGTATTAATTAATATGTACTAAAGTCGTTTGGTATCATTTAATATTATTTGTTGTTATTATTATCATTATTGTCGTTGTTATTGTCATTGTTGTTGATATAATAAGACAGCATTTTAATTTTAGTGCACATTCCTCGACTCCAGAGGTGGGTATGATCGGCAGCGCTATTATCGGTATTGTTATTGTTATTTTATACACTTTTGGGTCGATATTATGGAGTCAGCTCTTCACACTTATAAGAGTGATTGTCAGTGACTAAAGCCTTTTTATTCGTTCTGTGATTGGAGAACATTCACCGAGAAGGTGAATTTAAAAATGAGTTTTTAAAATGTAGTTCAAAAAGCCAATATTAAATAACAATCTAAATTTTATAATGTAAGATACCCAAATACTTATTGATAGTTTTGGATTTGAATATATTAAACGGTTTATTTGGAAAAATCATTTTAAATATCACTTTCGTTAAATCGAAGTAATATTTGAAATAAAAAATTAGTTTGCGTTGTTACAATCATCTGGAGTTGGATACTATTTGATTTATTTGTACTTTTGAATTCAATTATTATTTTAAGAATTAGTATATTACTTTACGAAGCTAAGATCTTGAAGCATTTGTTATGGTATCTAAAATTAAAAAATTGTTGATACAATTATTAGCTTAAAGAAAGGATTCGAATAATAAATAGCAAAAAAATTAATTTTTTTTAACTTTTAATGTATTAAAAAATTCCAGGAAAGTAATTTTGTTCGGTTGTATATTAAAATTCAATAACAAAATAGAAAAATATTCTTAAATGTAAATCAAATCAAATAACAAAATAATAAAAGTGTTTGAACCGCGTTTCAAACAACTAGTTATTTTATATAAAACAATAGTTATTATTACTTTAATAGTTAAGTCCTACTTCAAGTTTGTAACATATTGGTTTTTTTATTTTGTTACAACTGATTCCACGTAGACTACATGACGTAAACTCCAGTAACGAGGGTTGATAAACAGCATAAACTTATGAAGTAACCGCATGAAACATAGCTTTCTACGCTTTCTTAATGTTTAAAGTTTATTTCGTATACCCAATTTAATCAGCAATTTGACGAGTGGTGAGATTTTTTACCGAAGTAAAGATATAAGGAGCCTCAGGATCATAGTTATACCTAAAAAATTCAACTTGAATACTTGACGGTAAAATGTTTTGAAATTTTTCAAGGTATCATCTGAGTGACGATGAGGGTAGTGATCAGGAAGAAGCCATGGGTCCCGCCTCAAGCAACTTCTTCATCAGCAGCGAGCATCACCCACGTTTGCGCCGAACCTCGGCTATAGACGACGATACATCGTCAACTACACGCCGTCGGTGCTATCGAGCTCCACCAATGATAAACGTCACACGGGAGATCGAGCAAACACTTGCAAGACCAGCTGCAACCCGCGACTCTGCTGAATCAGATCCCAACGAGAAAAGTGGCGTTCCAGCTCCTGCCTCTGAGACTATGTGTTGAATCCAAGTTTACTTGTCTTAAAGGTTTAAGTGAGTACGAGTACTTTGATTAAAGAAATGTATATATGTATATTTCTGTAAGAGTGTATTCCTATCGTGGTGGCAGTGGTAGCACTACTGTGCCTAGGTAATAATGGCGTCTTTTACGTGTATAACTATACTTAAATGTTCGGGCCGTCTACTTATTTAATAAGGCACGTCTATACCATTTTACAGTTAAATATCTTGCGATACTGTAATAAGCGTTAATTACTGCCACCTGAACAAATCTTTACGCGCATGTATATTTTGCGTTGTTACTTAACAAGCGTTTATTATGTAGTAACAAAATACTGCTAAAGAAGAATTACAAATTTCAAGTTCCTTATCTTTACTGTATATAGAACCACTAAAGTTTTCTAAAGTTATCTAAGAAACTTATTAACTACATATTTTGTACCAAAATTAATTTTGTCTGCTTAGTTTTGCGTAAATCTATAGCGCAAAATTACACTTGCGATGGCTTGATTTATTATTTTTTGATATTTACAATACTTTTTAAATCTTATACAACTGTTAATTTTATTTTTGTTATTTTTTATAATGTATTTTGATGTGACTGTACTTGTCAAAAAAGTACAAATGTTCTGCTGAGATGACTCTTTATCACGCAAAACAAATTTATGAAAAAGATGAACTGACTAATGGTTCCAATAAATTAAAAAAAAATGTTTTTTAAACGATTGGCAATTGAAGCATTTTTATTTAAACACATGTTAAGTCAGACATTTTTCTGCTACAACATTATTATTTTATCGAAACTTAGTATATAAGGCACTTGATAAGAAGCAAAGGTTAATAGTGTATTAATTTTAATACTTGTTACCATGAGCCGTATCCAAAATCAGCTCATTTGAAAAGTGGCCACAGTGCTGCTCTGTTATTAAATGTAAACTTTAAATAACCTCAGTAAACTTTTGAATTAACAACAGGTATATGTAGCTAGCGATGTAAGCTCATTGTTATTTTCATAAATAGTGCGTGACCGAAGGTAATATTTCGGAACTCGATCGGTTTTCATTACTAACGATGCCATTATTTCAAATGATTTGATTTTTGAATTAATTCTGTGTAGGCTAAGCATGCTTTCTTTATTTATTCCCCAGGCATTTACATATTATTTTACTTATCGCTGTAAAATGTTTGGCTCACAGCACATTATATATATTAAGTATGTACACTAAAGGGTGATTATACATGAGTCATTTCACAAAAATTGCGATATTTTCACGCCCTAATTTAGATTTTTTCAATTAAATGTTTGGAGTTTTTTAATTATTTTTTCCAAGCTATATAATGTTCAAACTAGTTGAAAACTTTTGAGTCCGACTCCATGATACCTTATTAAAAACCTGTATATATGTTAGTTTAAATGCATTTATTTAAAAATTTAAAAAGAGCGTTACAGTAGTGACAGACTTGTCAATATCGTAATGGTACTTTTTTGCGATTGTGAAGCCTCAAGATGGAATTTTTCAACGAAATCATTCATCACATCTGCACTCTATACCCCTTTGTACACTATAGTCATATAATCGATGATTTCAAAACCCTTGGGAGATTAGAGGCATTACGGTAGTGACCGCTTATTTTACCGAAAAAAATGCTCTGTATTCGTGATGATACTACAAATAGCTACATTAATATTTGGAACTGCAAAAAAATTGACAGTCTTCTTGTATACTCACGGATACGAAATAGTTAATTCCAAGTGTCCGAAAATTAATTACTTGGCCAAATTAAATCACTTGTGGTGCACAAATGTCCCTAACTTGAAAAAAAAAATTTTTTTCGGTTCCAAACTATGACATAATGTGCTTAACACTTCAAACTTTTGGATAGTACATCGTAAAAAAATTTTTAAATTAACGTCTAAGCACCAGAAGCCGCAAAAAATTAAATTTTCTAATGCTTCGCGTTACGGTAATGCCATTTTGGCCTATTTTTTCAACCATACGGCCACGCAAAAAATTTTTTTGACACAATCTCAAAAACGCATTTAGGAAAAATTGACGTACACTCTTTAAAAAAAGTTCCAGCTCGAAATAATTTGATCCGTTATTTTTAAACATGGGCTTTGTGGAATATCGCATTTTTTGTGAAATGACCCATATCTACCTAAACTTTTTTTAAATGGCTTGTTATTTTACAAAAATTTAAGACGTCCTCATATTTAAAAGTTATGCACCACTATTCACCGTGTATTAAGAATATATCAGAATGGATAAATAATAGATGCACTTGTGGTGCGAGCTTGGAGATACTTGAGCTAATGTTGAATTGAGTTCCAAACCGAGTCCCAAACGTTGTGGAATCAGGTACATAAAATTTATCTTTAGTTTATAATTTTATGTAGTGATATAGAAAGTATACAAAATGTTATCAAACAATCATTATTTTTCTGCTTAATCTAAACTTCAGATTGTTTTTTTTTTTCTAAATGTACATACACTGGCGTACGTAAGAACCCACTTATGCTGACAGAACACTTGTTATCATAAGAAACTTCATAGAAATTTCCTGAATGAATCTCTGTCGAATTGTAGACACACTTTGAAAATACTGCATGTTTGGTGTTCAACATTCATGGGGCTCAGAAATAGATTTCGGTAGTTAGCCATATTGACAACGTCTGGTTGCTTTGATATTTTTCCGAATGATGTTATTACTTTAATTTTTAGTAGTTTCGTTTGATTTAGTCGTTCGTACCTTGTTCGTACTGTGTTCGTACGATGTTCATACCGTATCAGAGTCGATTTACGAGTCCATGTATTCCAAATTCAATTCCTTATTATACAGCAAACGACCATACTGTCGTATCATGCAGATAATTTTGTTTGAAAATACATACTGATGTTTGATGCTTCCAATGTAAAATCATTAGATCTTTGTTAACTGTCAAATAACAAACAAAAATATAATTTGTTCCTAAATTATTTCATTAAGAGTTAATATAGAGAAATCTTTAGCTTAATTTTGTTTACAATCACATCTTGATCAGTAATGTTTCACTATTAAACCTTTTCTGGATCTATAGTTACTCATTTTTACGTATATCACAAGGACACTTAACAATTATAAAGAATTCATTCACAGTCTATTGATGTGATATTAGGAATGTATGGAATGGCGAACTAACTCTGGTACAGTACTATTTGGTACGAATTAGGTTTAAACGAACGGCTAAATTGAACGCAACCTATATGTTTACCTAAAAATTTTCAATTTTATTAGCGGTTTGACTTTTTTACTAACACAAAAGTCAACCGTTACATTTGAATACATATTCAGCAGTCAAAGAAGTGTAGATAGTTTAAAGCAATAACGACTAACAGCAATATGTGAATGCTAATAGAGAATGATTCTCAGCCAAGTCATTGTATCTCGTACGTAGCATACGTTTCACAAATTACAAGAGGTGTTTCATATGTAATAAAATAATGTGCAGTTATATATCAGTACATTACCTTGTAACCAAATAATAAAGTATTTAGCCAAGGTTCATTAGTCGGTAGTGTCGAGACCCAACTCGTCAACGAGATTTAGTGACTGGGGGTGAATTTGACATCGGAAATTAATTACCGACACCCAACTCTGCTATATAACTAAGTCACAATCTTATCGTCTAGGACCTTACTCGGCTACTCCGTATGTTCAGAGGACCTCCGAGATCACGAGTGTCTAGCTACAAAACGACGGTTTAGGAGATCTCTAAGCTTTTCCAGGCTTGTACCCTAAAATGATAAACTGTAACCCTTTACTGTACATTCCTAATTCAGAAAAACAATAATCGACGTCGATTGTACTCTATCAAAACCACGCAATACAGTCTTCCTTATTAAAGCTATGTATTTTTCTATTGTCAAGGGTTGACACCCCATAATGCAGTAAATGTAGTAAATATATTAATTTTCTATTAATCCTGAGACTTCTTTCGAACAGATTTGAAAAACATTAAGAAAAATTGAAGCGTGCGAACTGCCAATAAATATACAGTTGAATTTTGAATACAAAATCATTTAATTAAAAGTGAATCGTTAAAAAATGAAGCAAACAGCTCAAGTACAATAAATCACATTTTCTGATATTATATTTAATAATATTAATTTTTAGGAATACCAGAGCTAAAAATTAGGGCACTACTTTAATGAGCCTTAAACTGTTATAAGTTCATTTCTTCTAAAGTAACTAGATAAACTCTAGCACGCTTGACTATTTTTTTAATAATTTAATTTAATCTGCCCGTAGGGTGTAGACAGTAATCTTTTTCCAAGTTATACTCACTATAACATTTAATAATACATAAAAAGATAAATTAATAAATAATTAACTTTTTGTTTTCTATACTACATTAAATATGCTGATTTTATAGTAGCTCATATAAAATATAAGTTATTGGACACAACAAAACCTTATTGTAATGTATTGGAGTCTTATACCAGTATTGTATCTAAGGCTCAAGAGTTAGCTCACTGTTTGCATCTTAGAGTAATAATTTTTTGTAACCATTAACACTTTGGCGGAAGAGTATTCGAATTTAAAAGGTAACATTATTCATTGACATGCAGTTGCAAAACAAGTGTTGTATTGCTTTTTTCGCTGTCTAAGTTTTGACTGTCAAATCTGTTCGTTAAATCAACGTATGTACATACACCTAATGAATGACTATAACTGCATAAGAACATGGCTGATTGCCTGTGTGATTTTAAAATACTATTAGGTAGCTCAAAACTGCGATACTTCTTTACTGATACATAGCTCAGCTATGATGTTTTTACTGGATTGTATTTCATATTGTTCTATGACATGCGGTGAACAATCATTGGTGCACTTTCTTAAAGTATGCGAATGAATAAATAAGACGTGTCATAAGTTCCGTGTTAACTGTGACTTAAGTACTTTATAAAATAACTTATTTTTTTAGATGCTCAGATGGATTTAAGAAATTATTTTTTTTAATCTTATCTGATAAAAAAGATGCTATTCTTCCCAAAACGTAATTTTGTAACAATGTAATTATTCGAAATAACTTCAATTGTACTATTACAATTTTTACATCCAATCGGATGCATATCCATATTATACGATAGTATGAAGATTATGTGTATGCATCTATACAATAGATAAAGATATTATTTTGTATGTGAAAAAATTTACTGAAAAAAGTTAACTACATGATGTATTAGAAGTGTAAATGTGATTCCGTCAAATTGTGTGAGAAATTTTAATTTTTCCCGAGAAAGAATAAATTGAAACTATTAGACGATTGACAGTACTTCAATCATGTTACCTTTATTTAAGTTGTCTTTTGCTTTTTTAGATGTATAAGAATTCGACAGGTAACAAATTTCTCAGACACTTATAATTTTATCGTTGGCGATAAATGAAACTTTCACTGAATAAAACTTAAAAGTTTAAAGTTGGTTTTTTATTTATAACATATACAAAATAAATTGCTTACGTTATAGTATGTTATACTAAAAAAAAACCTTCTGAACACACTGAGGATTCAAACTACTTAATGACAC